CCTCCCGCCTCTCCCGGGTGGACGTTCACCGCCGTGCACGTTCACAGGAAATTTTGGCCAACATTCAGGAGCTTCAGCGGCAGCTGTGGGAGCACAAGAACAAGGAGGACCAGAGAGATGAAAACGTGAGTTGAGCTCGCTGCTGCGTACCACGTACCACCCCGTTCACCAACAACACAGGGGAAGACCAAACGAGCCTGACTACATTATTTTTCATTTTTTTTCGACTGCTGTGAATAGATCGCGACTGCCACGCCCCTCTAGCCACGTCACGTGCCGTAATGACACACACATACACTCACCGCCATCCAAACCCTGCGCCCCCCCCCCCCCCCCCCCCCCCCCCCCCCCCCCCCCCNCCCCCCCCCTGTCGGTAGAACCCTTCGAGTAGCAGGTGTGTTGGCGTTTTGTATCCCGCTGTAAGACCGGCATATTTTCGCTGGTCCGCGGTCGATGCTAACAACAGCAACATCCCATTATAGTACTGGCGTGTTTCATTGGTCAGTCGGTGAGCACGGTCGATGCTAGCGTCAGAACGACAAACAACACACACACATGCACATGGCCTTTGGGAGCTTCGAGACTGGCATCTTTTCATCGGTCAACCGGTTAGCGCGGTCGATGCTCATAATATTACACATACAAACACGGTTGTAATATCTGCGACAACGATAGTAATGAGGGTAATTCTTCTGGGAGTGACGGAGACGAAGGAAAGGGAAAGGGAAGAAAGGAGGACGAATACGACAATGGAGGAGGAAAACATGAAGAAGTGGAAGAGAGCAAAGGGTTTGAGCCAGATGACCTTCCCCAAAACAAAAAACGTAGGTTAGGGAAGAACTGGAAAGGTATTGTTGTCAAAATGAGGATCAGAATGATGGTAGCGACAACAACAAGGAGGATAATGGTGAAAGTACTCCTAAACGAACTCGAATACAAGGTAATAGCCTTCGTAGACGCGTGCAGTTTTCTTCTGTTGCCACCGTTTCTGTCTTTGATCCGAAGGATAGTTTAGCCTCCCACATGCTGCCCCCTCACGGGGTCCCAGTTCATGGCAGATAGAAGTGTTTTTGTGTTTTCAACCGCACTAAGACTGACGTCTTTTCATTGGTCAGCCGGTTAGCGCGGTCGATGCGAATAATAAAGACACAAACACAAACACACACAAGCAGAGGAGGAAGCAGGGCGCGAGGTCGGAGCTGGACTACGAGGAGAGCGGCGCGGAACAGAGCCGAGAGAAGAGCAGAGTGGTGGTGGTGTCCAACCGGCTCCCGATCAGCGCGCAGCGCAACCTGGAGACCGGAAAGTGGACGTTCAAGATGTCGAGCGGCGGGCTGGTGACGGCCCTCCAGGGCGTGCGGCACGAGATGGACTTCATGTGGATCGGTTGGATGGGCGTGGAGGTGGAGGAGGCGGAAAGGGTGAGTGAGTGCGGGACGGGTGTGTAGAGCGAACGCGAGACCGAGAGGAGGGGGGAAGTCAGGCAGGTAGTCAGGCAGTAGGCAGGCAAAGAGCACAAGGTGGTGGTAAATACGTGACGAAGCCGGACATATCATAGTAGTCAAACAGACAGACAAGACACAAGCGGGAGACAAGGGGAGGGGGAGGGAGGAGACCGCAAAGAGGACGCGTGTTTTTTTTTGGGAGGAGTTCGCACTGTTGGAGTCGAATTCTCTTTGTGTTGATTTGTGTTGAGGCCAGGAGCCAAGATGGTGCACCTCACACTTCGGTCCGACATATGCAAATGATAACGGTCATCCCCCCGTCACTTCTTGACCGTTAACGTGAAGTATCCCGTCGTTTTGTTGTGTGCACTTGATGTCCTGGTGTCCTGGTGTCCTGGTGTCCTGGTGCGTTGGTTGTTCGTGTCGTGTTACAACAAAAAAATGTCTAGTCAATCTTGTCGGATAAAAGGAGGCATCTTGCGTCAGCGTGTAGCTCACCAAGCGCGCGTTGTTCTCTTGCCCTTCCGCCCCCCCCCATGATTCGAGATGCCGGTATGCCGCTGTTTTACGCCGCCCCCCCCCCCCCCCCTTCCGCCATGGAGACCCACCCCCCCGTTCCCCCTCTTTGCTTTGCAAAGGCCAGCCAAAAGGGTGACACACCCGTGCGTGCTTCTCAGGGCAATCGATAGCGTTCTGTGAACTCGCCTCTCCCCCCCACGGCCATCTCCATCCCTGCGGACGCTTCTTGTACCCAGGACGAGGTATCTCAGCGGTTGATGGAGGAGCACTCGTGTGTGCCCGTCTTCCTGGAGCAGGAGCTGATGGACAAGTACTACAATGGCTTCAGCAACGACGTGCTCTGGCCGCTGTTTCACTACGTCCCCCTGCCGATGTACAAGGCCGGCAGCGAGAAGAAGTTCGATAACGGGCTGTGGGAGGCCTACAAGATTGCGAATAAGAGGTGAGGATGAGGGGAGGGGGAGGGAGGGCGGACACGGACTGACACTGGTCATGCCTGCGTGTTTGCTGCTGCTGCTTCTACTGCCGTATGAGGGAAGGAGCGGGGTTAGCCACTGGTGTCTCGAGCAGGGACGCCTCTGGCGCGCGATATCGTTGTGGTCGAGCTTGGTCCGCCCTGCTGGCTCCTGCGTAAAAACTCAGACCAGGGAGATGGATTGTGTTGTTGTACAGCCGTCCTCGACAGACCGCAGAAGTCGTCCAGTAGACGAAATACCTTTGTAGCTATTTGCGAAACCATCACCCTTCCCGCGCACGCCCCTCACGGCGGCCTCCCCGTGATTCCCCCCCTCTCGAAGACGCGTGGTCAGTGGTCTAACAACTAAGGCACGCAAGACCCTGAGTAAGCCCCCCGACGCCCCCCTGCATTCTAGACTTCAGTGGGTTGGCGCTGTTGGCAAAGCTCTGTAAAACACGCCACCCCAAATATAGCCCCCATAGTATGCGATACCAAAGACGCGTGACGCATCGATGCGTGGAGTGAGGATAGCTTACGGAAACCTCACAGGTTGAGTGATGTACGAGATTGCCGGACAGATAGACGTGTAGAGTGATTATAGCTGTATACTGAAACCCCAAGGGTTGAGTGAGGTTTGAGATTGCTAGACACATGGACGGGTTGAGTGGGGATAGCTGCATACTGAAACCCCACGGGTTGAATAATGTTGGAGTGCCGGGCACATAGACGCGTTGAGTGGGGATAGACACATACTGAACCTCACAGGTGATTCGTGATGGAGATTGCCGGACAAATAGACGTGTTGAGTGAAGATAGCTGCATACTGAGACCTCACAGATGCATTGGTTTTTGAGTTTGCCAGACACATAGACGCGCTGAGTGGGGATAGCTA